AAAGCGATACAAGTGAATCTACCATTTGATCCAGCAATCCCATTGCTGGGCATCTACCCAAAAGATCCAATGACACTCTACAAAAAAGACACCTGCACTCGAATGTTTATAGCAGCACAATTCATAATTGCAAGGCTGTGGAAACAGCCCAAGTGCCCATCAATCCAAGAATGGATTAATAAAATGTGGTATATGTATACCATGGAGTACTATTCAGCTCTAAGAAACAACGGTGATATAGCACATCTTATATTTTCCTGGTTAGAGCTGGAACCCATACTACTAAGTGAAGTATCCCAAGAATGGAAAAACAAGCACCACATATACTCACCAGCAAACTGGTATTAACTGAGCAGCACCTAAGTGGACACATAGGTACTACAGTAATAGGGTATTAGGGAGGGGAGGGGAAGGGGGTGAGTATATACATACATAATGAGTGAGATGTGCACCATCTGGGGGATGGTCATGCTGGAAACTTAGACTTGTGGGGGGAGGGGGGAAAGGGCATTTATTGAAACCTTAAAATCTGTACCCCCATAATATGCCAAAAAAAAAAAATACTGTCTGACAGCAAAAAAAAAAAAAGGCATAGGCTGGCTGAATGGATGATAAACACAACCAAAGTATCTGCTGCCTCCAGAAAATACATCTAACCCACCAGAACTCATGCAGACTCAAGGTAAAGGTATGGAAAAAATATTCCACACAAATGGAAACCAAAACAGAGAAGATGTGGCCATTTTCAGAACAGATAAATTTGACTTTAAATCAACAATGGTAAATAAAGGCAAAGATGGTCATTATATAATGGTAAAGGGAGCAATTCAACAAAAAAAATAATAATCCTAAATATATATACATCTAACACAGGAGCTCCTAGATTCATAAAGCAAATCATAGTAGATATAAGCAAAGAGATAAATAGTAGCATCATAATTGCCTAAAACTTCAACATCCCACTGACAGAGGTGGACAAATCATTAAAGCAGAAAATAAATAAACACTGGATTTAAATGAGACTCTAGAACAAATGGGCCTAACAAGCATTTTCAGAACATTCTACCCCAAAACTACTGAATTACATTCTTCTCATCAGCACATGGGCTATTCTCTAAGACTAATTATATCTTAGGCCAAAAAACATGTCTCAAAAAAATCGAAATCATACCATGTATCCTCTCAGACCACAGTGGAATAAAACTAGACATCAATTCCAAGAGAAACAGTCAAATCAGAAATGAAAAAGGTGATAGTAAAACAGGCACCACAGACACACAAAATATTATCCCAAATACTATGAAAATCTCTACACACATAAACTAGAACACATAGAGAAATGGACAAATTTCTGGGAATACACAACCTCCCAAGATTCAATCAGGAATAAATAGAACTCCTGAACATACCAATAATGAGCAGTGAGATTAAAGCAGTAATAAAAAAAAATCTTCCACAAAAAACATCCCTGGACCACATGGATTCACAGCCAAATTCTGTCAGACCTGCAAAGAAAAGCTGGTACCCATACTGCAGAAATTATTCAATAACATTGAGAAAAAGGAAATCCTCCCCAACTTATTCTATAAAGCCAGTATCACCTTGATACCAAAGCCAGGAAAGGACCAAACAAAAAAAGAAAACTACAGACCAATATTCCTTATAAATATAGATACAATAATCCTCAATAAAATACTACCAAACTGGATTCAAAAGCACATCAAAAAAATAATCCACCATGACCTAGTAGGGTTCCTCCCAGGAATGCAAGCATGGTTAAACATATATAAATCAATAAATGTTATTCACTATATAAACAGAAGCAAAAACAAAGACCATATGATCATCTCAATAGATGCAGAAAATGCATTCAACAAAATCCAACATGCTTTCATGATAGAAACCCTCAACAAACTAAGCATAGAAGGAACATAGCTCAAAATTATAAAAACCATGCATGACAAACCCATAGCCAACATCATACTGAATGGGGAAAAGTTGAAAGCATTCCCTCTTAAGAACTGGAACAAGAGAAGGGTGCCCACTGTCACCACTTCTAGTCAACATAGTGCTGGAAATCCTTGCCAGAGCATTCAGGGAAGAGAAAGAAATAAAAGGTATCCAAATTGGGAAAGAAGAGGTCAAAGTATCACTTTTCATGATAATGTGATCTTGTATCGAGAAAATCCTTAAAACTCCACCAAGAGACTCCTGGAATTGATAAATAAATTATTAGGAAAATCTCAGGTTCAGTAGCATTTCTATATACCAATAACAGTCAAGCTGAGAGTCAAATCAAGGACTCAATATTCAAAATAGCTACAAAGAAAATAAAATACTTAGGAATATATTTAACCATGGAGGTGAAAGATCTCTACAGGGAGAATTATGAAACACTGATGAAAGAAATTGCAGATGGCACAAACAAATAGAAAAACATTTCGGGCTCATGGCTCAGTAGAGTCAACATTGTTAAAATGTCCATAATGCCCAAAGTGATTTACAGATTCAAGGCAATCCTCATCAAAAAGCCAACATCATATTACATACATCCAGAATAAATAATTGTACACTTTATTTGGAAACAAAAAAAAGAGCCTGAATATCCAAAGCAATCTTAAGAAAAAGAACAATTCTGGAAGCCTCACATAACCTAACTTCAGACTATACTACAAGGCTATAGTAACCAACACATCAGGGTATTGATACAAAAATAGAGACATAGACCAATGGAACAGAACAGAGAACCCAGGCATAAAACTATCTTCCTATAGCCAATGGATCTTCAACAAAGCAGGCAACAACATACAGTGGGGAAAGGAAGCCCTATTCAATAAACGGTACTAGGAAAATTGGATAGCCACATGCAGAAGAATAAAACAGGACCACTATCTCTCACCACTTACAAAAATGAATTCAAGATGGATAATGTCAGGCATAAAACCATAAAAATTCTAGAAGAAAATGTACGAAAAACTCTTCTGGACATCGGCCTAGGCAAAGATCTTGACTAAGACCCCAAAAGCAATTACAGCAACAACAAAATTAAATAGATGGAACTTGGTTAAATTAAAAAGCTTCTGCACAGCAAAGGAAATAATCAAGAGAGAAAATAGACAACCTACAGGATGGGAGAAAATATTTGCAAACTATACATCTGATAAAGGGCTAATATCTAGAATCTACAAAGAACTCAAACAAATCAGCAAGAAAAAAAACAAACCACCCTATCAAAAAGTGGGCAAAAGACACGAACAGAAACTTTTCAAAAGAAGATAGACAAATGGCAAAAAAAACACATGAAAAAATGCTCAGTATCTCTACTCATCAGGAAAATGCAAATTAAAACCACAATGAGCTATTACCTTACCCCTGACAGAATGGCTTTTATTAAAAAGTCCAAAAGCAATAGATGCTGGCATGGATGCCAGCAAGGAAAGGAACACTTATACACTGTTGGTGGGACTGCAAATTAATACAACCTCTATGGAAAACAGTATGAAGATTCCTCAAGGAACTAAAAATAGACCATTGCATCTAGCAATCCCACTACTGGATATCCACCCACAGAAAAAGAAGTCATTTTATCAAAAAAGATACCTGCACTCAAAAGTTTATTGCAGGACAATTCACAATTGCAAAGATGTGAAATCAACCTAAGTGTCCATCAATTCATGAGTGGATTAACAAAATGTGGTGTATATATACATGGAGTACTACTTAGCCATAAAAAGAAATTAACGTCTTTTGCAGCAATTTGAATGCAATTGGAGACCAGTATCCTAAGTGAATTATCTCAGAATAGAAAAACCAACACCACATATACTCTCTAATAATTTGGAACTAATCAGTGGGCACACATGGGCACAGAGAGAAGTAAAAGTCACTGGAAATCAAGAAGGGGAGGAGGAATAAGGGGAGGGCTAAAACCCTACTTAACAAGTACAGTGAATACTATTCGGGTGATAAGCACACTCATAGCCCTGACTTAAGCATTATAAAAGCTATCCATGTAACAAAAACATTTCTTCCCCGTTAATATTTTGAAATTAACAATAGAAAGAAAAGGAGCCAGACAAGCTGGGTTCATATTCAGGCTCCACCGCTGACCAGCCACATGACCTTGAAGAAGTTTCTTGACTTTGCCAAGGCTCAATTTCCTCATCTATAAAATTGTGATATTTATGGTAGCTTCCTCATAAGGTTCCTTGGGAGGATTAAACAGTGCTTAGCATCATAGCAGGCACACTGTGCCTGCTCAGTAAATGGAGGCTGTTATTATACTTTCCTACCTGACAGTCATTACAGAAAGAGGTGCCCATCAGGGCCCAGGAGCATGTGGCCCTTGTGGTGAGAGTCAGATGCCAAGAGGAATAAGAGACACAATCACACTCTAAGTGAAGACCCTCTCCCTACCCCGCAGCACTCTTTACTGGGTCTTCCCAGAAGCTCACTGAATGAAAAGCCCCAGCTCAGACATGTGGCCAGATGGCTAAGTTCTAAATCCTGGCTATGCCTTGGGACCTTAAGCAAGATTTGAGGCCTCTCTGGGTCCCAGTTTCCTCTTCTATGTTGCCATTCACAATTATCTCACAAGGACTGAATAACGTGACACAGTGATGCATGTGAGAGTGGTTTATAAACTGTAGAGCACAGGATGATAATACTGTAGTTCTGTTTGGTGGAGTGGGCTCATTGTTTGTAAGGATTTTTGTTGGGCCAGGACTAGGGGAAAAGGGGAAGATTCTTATGTTTTTCCCAATTCCCCTAGGAGGCCATTGCAATCTGTCAGATTTCTCTTGAACACCAAGTTCATTAGGGTTTTAACAACTAATTCATTCAACACATGTTCATTGAGGGCCTCCAGTGTACTGGGTTTTCTGAGTACTGGGGCTATATCAATAAAAAAAAGAAAAAGAAAAGAAATATGTTACTTGAATTTTGTCTAACTGAAGTATAAAATATTTTAAATACAATCTTTTCTTTTTTTCTGATTCTAGGCTCCTGATATGGGCTTCGAGACTGCACTTGCTCCACAGTTTATTTCCTTAAGAGAAATGATCTTTTTTGCATATGTACCTGAAAATGAATCTCAGGCAACATTATACACCAAGAAATTCAACAATATGCACTATGGAAAAGTGATAAACTCCGGGTAGTTAGTGATTTGCCTCACATTTGTTTAGATTACATACTGGTTTTTAGATTCTAAATTTGTGAGCCTACTTTTTTAAGTAATTTTCTTGGTCAAATAGACTCTTTTTATGATACCCTGCAATGCCAAATACATTTATCAATTCCATGTTCTAGTAGCTTTATAGTTCTGCATTCTATATTTAAGTCTGTACTGTGCAGTTACCAGGGAGGAATAACTATTAAAAAAAAAAGAAAAAATATATATATTTAAGTCTGTGATCCATTTCAAGGTAATTTTTTGTGAAGGCTATGAAGTCTATGTCTAAATTCATTTTTTTTTGCATGTGGATATCCAAGGCTAATGTTTTAAAAATAGGTTATAAAGTTAATATATGTTCATAATAGAACTTTCCTTAAAGGCAGATAAATATAAAAAAGAAAATTGAAATCATGACTGTTAACACTTTGATGTATTATCAATTAGTCCTTTTTACATTCATTTTAACATTTTTACCTTGCTTTTTTTCATTTGAACATTATAATATGACCATTTTTCTTATATAATGAAAAGTTATTTGTAAACTCCACATTAATAGTTGTATTTAGGCCGGGCGCGATAGCTCATGCCTGTAATCCTAGCTCTCTGGGAGGCTGAGGCGGGCAGATTGCTCAAGGTCAGGAGTTCGAAACCAACCTGAGCAAGAGCGAGACCCCATCTCTACTATAAATAGAAAGAAATTAATTGGCCAACTAATATATATAGAAAAAATTAGCTGGGCATGGTGGCACATGCCTATAGTCCTAGCTACTCGGGAGGCTGAGGCAGAAGGATCGCTTGAGTCCAGGAGTTTGAGGTTGCTGTGAGCTAGGCTGATGCCACGGCACTCACTCTAGCCTGGGCAACCAAGTAAGACTCTGTCTCAAAAAAAAAAAAAAAAAAAAAAAAAAGTTGCATTTACTCTAAATATGTCATATATTATCATTTACTTAGTTTTCCTATTGTTGGCAATTCTTATTTCTAATTTTTACCATAATGCTGTGCTAAATATCTTTGTATAGAAAGCTTTTCCTTGTGTTTTAGGTTATTTCTTTACAACCGAGCTATATTAATAGAATTACAGAATCTGAGGGGAAAATATAATGGCTGAGCTCTTAATGCATAATGTCAAATTGCTTTCTAGAAAGCTTGTACTAATTTATAAATCCATCATTAGTGGATGAGTGCCTGTCTCCACTCAATTCTCACCATTACTGAACCCTGTCATTTAAAAATCTTTACTAATCTTAGAGGTAAAAATTGTACCCCATTGTTGTAATTGCTATTTTATTGACCTTACTATTGAGGTTGAGCAGATGTTAATCAAATGTTCATTAGTTAGCTATTTAGAGGTTTGTAAATTATTTGTTCATAAAGTGGCTCATTTAAGCCACTGTTTTATCCAAATTGTTTAACAGTTGTTGGTTTGTTTTTAGAAAAACTGGGAAAGCTTACATACGAAAGATAATGCAACATGACACTATTAAAGGATTTTTGTCCTCAGCTATTGCAGAAATGACGGAGCCTTTTGCAATAGAAGAAGAAAATGAGAGCTCTTGTTTGTCTAGTTCCCTTTCCATTAGTGAGACTGCAAATTCCTTGTATAAACTTACTCTTGACTTACAAAGTAAGTGTAACAATGTAATACATCTCTGCTAACTAGAAAAAAATATCATTTGACAAGATTTTTTATGCTCATTTATAAAGCAATAGATCTCAAATTTTAGTCCAATTGGCAAACTACCTAACTTTACATATATTTAGGTTCCGAGAGGATTTATTTTTTTCTAATATAATAAAACCTAGCTATAACTTTATTGATATTTCATCAATAATAGTGCCTATCATTCATTCCTATGAGTTTATTTTGTCTTAAACAATGCTCAGAAGCACTGACAGAAAATAGGAAGTTCACACAGACTTTGCCCCACATAATAAAATAATTTTGAATCACAGTTATATAGGGTATTTCTATCTAAAAGGATAATCTGATAGATACATAGCAAAAGTTAATATAGTTTATTCTAAGAATTTGGATTTTACTCTGAGTAAACAAGAAGCTATTGGAAGGTTTTGAAGAGAAAGTGACATGATCTGACTTATGATTTAAAATTATCACTTTGGAGCCTGTGCTGAAAACAGACTCGGCAGGTGATGGAGAGAGAGAAGGCAAAGAGGAAATCAGGGAACTAAGCTGTGGAGACCGTTGGAATAATCGACTGTAAGGTCATATTAAACTTAAGATGCCTGTTACTCATCCAGTCAGAGGAATAAGATGGGCATTTAGGAGTACAAGTCTGGAAGCTCAGTGAAGAGGTCTGGACTGGAGATATAAATCTGAAAGTTGTCAGCATATGTATTAATATGATAGTTAGTGCTATGAGACCAAATGAGAAAACCTGGAAAATGAGTGGAGATGTAGAAAGGAAGAGGTTTGAGATCTAATCCCAGGCATGCCAACCTGTAGCGTCCAGGGAATGGAGGAGAATCTGTACAGGAGATTGAATGGTTTGGTCAGAGATGAACTAAGAGAGAGTGTATCTCAGAAGCCAACTGAGGAAGTGTCACATGCCACCAATAGGTCAGGTAAGGTGAGGAATGAAAACTGGCCAGGGGATCTGTATGAAAGTCATTGGTAACCTTGACAAAAGCTGTTGGCTGGAGTAGTGGAGTGATTGGAATGAGTTAAAAAAAACTATGAGAAGAGAACTGAAGACAGTGAATAAAGCTAATGCTTTCAGGGAGTTTCACTCACTATAAAGGGGAGGCGAGAAGTTATATTGTAGTTGAGGGGGGATGTTGGAAAGGATTTTTGTTGGTTTGTTTAAATTGGGAGAAATTAGAGCTTGTGTACATAATTAAGGAAATTATGAGGCTTGCTCCGATTTTTATTTTTTTTAGAGTTAAGGGAGTATTGCTGATGTGTTTCATAACCTATCAATAATATTTTGATAGTGATGACCTCCCTATCCTTGAAACAGCCTTCCTTTGGCTTCATTGATATCTTCTCCAATGGATTTTCTCCAGTTGTTTGTCTCCTTGAGGGGATCTTTTTCCCTTTTCATTCCTTAAATGATGGTGTCCCTGAAGGTCTCACCCTGGTTTTTCTTCTAAATATTTGTGTTATCCTTGAATAATTATTCTCCCTTCAGCAAGTATTTATTGAGCTCATTTTATGTAATATGCACACCTTCAAGCACTGGGAAACACTGGCTACCTTATCTCTGTCTTGTATAATCACAATAAATATACCAGGTTATTAAGTCTGGTTGTAGTTCCATAGTAAAGAAATCACCTTTCTTTACTTAGCCCTGCATGGTTTTATTTTCTGCTGAAAAGTTTATAGCATAGTTTCATAGTAAACATTAAAGTATAGGTGCATGACATAGTCATGATAAATTTTCTATAATATAATTTGAATTATAAATTGAAATTTGGCAAATGTGTTGTCTGGTTAAGATAATGATGTAAAAGCTCAAATAGTATATTTTTTAGTTATGTACACCACTATGCTTAGTGAACATTGGCTGTTTTATTTTACACCAAATCTTTTCTGTTTTATCTCCAGTTGCTAATGCCTTATTTGAAGATACAGATATAGAGAAAACTGTAGTGATTCCTGGTCACAGCAGCTTTCTGATCACAAGCATTTTAGATAATAAGAATGCATTAGCTATTGCTACAATGCCTAACAGAGCATCCAGCAATGTGACCTTTCTAAAGGACTCCTGGTTTTTATACAACCTTGGGCGAAGGAATGGACAAACATGGACTATATATTCAAAACCGTGTAATTATTGGTTTGAACATGAAGAGGCAGTATCCATCAATGTCTTGAAATACATTGATCTGGGAAACTCTGAGGTTTTAAAAGTTAAAATCATACCTAAGGCAAAAGGTAAATTTGTTTTTATTGGGAAACATCAAAAGGAGATGTTATTTCTTTTCACAAATGTGAAATATACTCTTTAATATTTACTTTATCTTTGGTTCCCATAATTGTTGGCATTCTACTAATAACAATATTAGCTTCTAATTATTGAGCACTTACTATGTACTAGGCTCTGTATTAAATGATTTTTATACCCTATATTATGTAATGTTTATAATGACCCTAAATGACACGAATTATACTCCTTATTTTACAAATGAGGAAAAGGAGGTTAAGATACCAACTGAAATTTACACAGAATTTTAGTTTAGATTTTTGTCATCCTCTGAAATGAAAACCTTTTAATTACTTTCGTATCATTATATTTATTTCACGTACAGCTGACCTTTGAACAACACTGGTTAGAACTGCATGGATCCACTTATACGTAGATATTTTCAACCAGTGGATAGAAAATACAGTATTTGCGGGATGTGAAACCCACATACACAGAGGGACTGGCTTTTCCTATATGTGGGTTCTGCAGGACCCACTGTAGGACTTGAGTATAATTGTATTTTGATATACACAGGGGTCCTGGAACCAACCCCCTATGTATACCAACCACAGGACAACTGTATTTGTTTTAAGCCAAAAAATGGCTTTTAAATAGAATTCTATAGTCTTCTGCATTTCTGTAGGTATTTATTTATTTAAAAAGTAATATAAAACTTATTAAAGATGCTGGTGAAATGTTATACTGGAAAAATAAAACAAAAAAATTTAGTAAATAACTGAACTAGAAAGAGAGGAAGGAAAGATGGAAGGGAGGGAATAGGGGAGAAAGGGAGGAAAAGAGAAGAAAATCTTATCACCAGAAATGAAGGAACTCAAAGCCAAAGAAATTAGCTAATGTATGGCTCCCTGAAGCATGTGGTGTTCAGATACAGGCCATGTAGGCAGTGTGATGGATTTTAATGTCCAAGTATTGACCAAACATTTGATTTGGGGCCTTCTTACTTTGTGATAGGAAGTCGGAACTGAGACTGTTAAAGAAAGCTGGGACCATCAGATCATGAAGAGGGGATTAGGAAAACTCTACCTACTGATCCAAAGAAGCAGTAAGGGGTTTATCATCTCAGAGTGGAATAAAAAGAATCTCCTATAAAAAACCCAAACTCCACAACAGTGTCTCATCCAGGACACTGGATGTGTTGTTTGTTCACTGATTTCAAAATGACTGCCTACCAGATTCAGGAATCACAAGCTGAGAAATAATGATAACACTTGGGCCCCAGCATAAGCACACACAAAACCCTCTGTGGGAATACTTTCATAACCAGGTATTGTGGGCTACTATGGAAAAATCAATCTCTATTGAACATGAACTAAGAAAAAGAATTTTAAGACTATGTAAGGAAATGACCCAATGTAAGAGTCAACAGGCATAGGAAATAGAAAAATTGAAACTCCAAGAAGTTGGGATAATAGAAAAATAAGAAAGACACTATGAAATAAGTATGCATAAAACTCTTAGAGTGAATAGGAACCATAATGAAAGGACAAAATGCAATTTTTTTAAAAGTCTTATTTGAAAAAAGGAACCAGGTACAACTTATATAAATGAAAATTATAGGCTTTGAAAAACATTTTGAGAACATGTATTTCCATCAATATTATATGTTAAATATTCTGAAAAACTCCCTTCTGTTTGAAACCCTTATGAATCCTTTCTTATTGTTTATATGATTAATTGTCCATATTCCCTTCAAATAATCTGAGTTTTAATTTTATGGTTTTAACTTTCTATTTAATTCTTTAAGCTATCAGAATTTTGTTTTGGCATATTATAGATGGTTAGCTAGTTGTTCCAACATTAGTCTTTTTTGTTTACTGATTTCAAAATGTAATTTTATCTTAGTATACAATTTACCTATTATTTTGACGATTTCTGGGTCTTAAAAACCTATTCTATTGTAATCTCTTTATATTCTGACACTGATACCATAATTTTCTACAAAATAATTATTTTAGTTTTAAAATATACCAAATTATTTGTTAAAGGCCTCAACCACTTATACTTGTTCAGTTTGATGGAAGGAAATAGTGATCAGCAAATCAACTCAATTGCCTCTTTCTGTAGAAAAGCCTAGGCCATGCTCCTCAAGAGTGGTCCCTGGACCCGTATTAGCACCACCAGGGCCCTTGCTAGAAATGTACAATCCCAGGCTTCACTCCAGACCTGCTCAATCTGCATTTTAACAAAATCCTTAGTTAAAGGTTGGGAAGCACAGGCCAGATAGATCATCTTGGGTTAAGGAAAACAGCTACAGATGAGACCTCAGGCAAAGCATTTATTACTTCTCAACTCTGGTTTATTGGTTAGAAAAAATGGCAATTAGACTACATGGTATTTCAAGTCTCCTTTTCCATTAAAGTTCTCAGCATGGCAAGGTTGCAAACTGATGACCTGCAGGCAGAAATTGGCCTGCTGTCATATTTTGTTTGAAATGCCTGAGAGTTTTCTCTTGGTAAGTAATTGACTGGCAGCCCTTGAAATTCAGGATGTACTCTTCATTTTTTTCCACTAAATCAGCTAACTCAGTGTAACCAGTATTATCCAAGGTAATGCATTTGAGAACCTGGCAGAGGAATGAGGGGTAGAAGGGAGAAATATTTTTCTGAGAAAATATTTGTAAAGATAAATTTCTCTAAGAACTATTAAAGTTGTTTCTATGTAAATTGCTAACTATATGTGCAGCCATTATGCAGCCTTCATAATAGATTCTATAGATGTTCTAAAATCCTGATTAGCAAATCATTATTAAATTGAGTTTACAATTTTCATTATATAATATTAACTGTTGACCTTGTTTCCATAGGTCTTCGCACACTTGAAATACCACTAGTGAAAGTGGTAGTTGGAAACCCAACTGTGTTGGAATTTAAGGCTCAAGGTTATTTTGATGATACTGATAGTTATGTAATGAAAATTTCTGTAGCTAGCAAAGCTTTACGTCAAGTAAGATTTTCTTTAATTATAAATAGTTATTAAGCATAGAAAAAAATTTTAAAACAACTATTATGGACACTTGAGCATTATTTTAAAAACCTATTTATAAATACACATATATGAACATATAGTTAGAATGAATAGATTGAAGGAAAATGGTACTAATTTTATAAAAATAGGTTTATGCTCTGCATATTTTTTAAATGTTATGTATATATATTTACCCAGCTTTGCAAAAGAAAAATTGAAATGAAACTAAAGGAAATTGTACATTTCAGGTAAAATATTTTTTCACCACAAAAATATTAAGTTGAGCTATATGAAATTACTCTTCTATAGACCAAAAACAGTAGAATATTGGTTTTATATGGTTCAACCTATAATTTTTGCAAATATCCCTTTAAAAGTAGTACTATTAGATGTCTAACATTCTGGAATTTTCTGTTTGCTTTCTTGCATCTTACTTAACTTACATCTTTAGTCCCATGTATTTCCTTTAACAGTAGAACTCTGCTTAGATTCAGGATCAATGTGTTTGACAAAAGAACATAAAAATACATCATTTGTAATGGCTGCAGATTATAGGAACTGGGGCAGAACTGATACCACCAGAATCTACTACTTCACTACAGTTATTAACATCTATATATTTTTAAAGTTCCAAAAATACTTAATAATTTCAAACAATTTATCAAATGTTATTGAATGTTTAATATTGTTCAAGGATAAAATATATTTACTGTGCATAAATCCTACCAAAACCTTATCTTTATGAAATATAGTGATTGCTAAGTAAATAGTTTTTTTCAAAATGTGTATCAAAGTTATTTTATTCATCTCATCAAAGCAAATATTCAGGTATTCATTAATGAATGAGAGAGTTGGATATAATAATGGTATTTATTTAATAAGTCCTTCTTTTTAAAATGTTTTTAAGTAAATTTTATTATACTTATTTAAGGGTATACAGCTTGATTTTATAAGGTACCTATGTGTAGTAAAATAATTACTATGGTGGAAAAATATCTCACAGAGGTCCCCATGCATCATCTCACATAGGTACACATTTTTCCCTGCTGTGACAAGAGCAGCCATAATCTATAAATTTAGCAAAAACACTGAATATAATACACTGCTGTTAATTACAGTCCTCATGTTCTTGATCCTTGCTTATTTTCAAATATTTCCTAAAACAAATTAGATTAGAATATATTTCTTCCTAGAAAACAATATGTTTGCTGTTATGATTTATTCTCAAGCAGATCTTTATGGTCAAACTTCTTCTATTTCTATTTTCAGTCTATTTCTTTTCTTTTTCTATATTCTTTAGTTGGTTACTGTATTAATTTTCTAGGTCTGCCACAACAAGATGCCACAGACTTGGTGACTTAAACAACAGAAATTTATTTTCTCACAGTTCTGGAGGCTACCAGATATCAGCAGGGTTGGTTTCTTTTCTTTTGAGGCCCCTCTTCTTGGCTTGTAGACGGCCATCTTCTTGCTGTGTCCTCATGTGGTCACCACTCAGTTTTTGTATTGTCTATTTCCTAATTTCCTCTTATAAGAAGAGAAAAATAAGAAGAGAAAATATTTGTCCTTCTGATAAAGACACCAGGAATATTGCAGTAGGGCCCACCTGAATGATCTCCCTTTACCTTAATTACTTCTTTAAGGCCCTCTCTCCAAATACAGTCACATGCTGAGGTCCTAGGGGTTAGGACTTCAACATATGAGTTTTGGGTGGAAACAGTTAGTATATAACAGTTACTTTAAATAACCTTTACTTATTTGGATATTTCCAGGGTTCAACTTCACTGGCATTTATTGTCTGGGGAGCATCTGCTGACTGCTTTGTTACAACAATCGTGACAACATTGAAAAGCAGCTGTAGTTATCTCAGAACTATGCGTCACATTCCTATCACACTTATCCCACTTGAAAACTGGCTTAATGGAGAGCATATGGACAATAAGGGTTTTAACCTAATCAAAACTTTGCCGGTAAAAGATCTAAGTATATTGGTTTAAGAGTACCAATGCTATATGACTTTTCTATGATTGCCATTAATTTTAACGTTTCTTTTCTGAGATGTTCAAAATGTTTCACCATTATTTTTAAATCCTCATGTCATTTTGAGGATGTGACTATTATTTCTAAAGTATAAAAACTTTCTGAAATAATGACTTTTCTTGGTAACTTAGTCTCATGTGTATTAATATCATTTTATACTATATTATGTGGTATCATCTTGAGCTTTTGTGATGTATACAGCTAACTATTTGCCCTTACACTGACTTGTCCTAAATTGATACAATTGACCCTTGAACAACGTGTTATAATTGTGTGCACTACAGTGGATTTTTTTTCAATAAATATACTGGAAAATTTTTTGGAGGTTTTTGACAATTTAAAAAAATTTGCAGATAAACCGCATAGCTTAGAAATATCAAAAAATTATGAAAAAGATATGTCATGAATGTATAAAATATAGGTAGATTCTCATCTATTTCATCATTTACTACCATAAACTGTACATAAATATATTGTAAAAGTTAAAATTTATCAAAGTTTACACAAACATTTATAGACTGTTCATAGCACCATTTGCAGTCCAGAGGAATGTAGGCAAATGTAAAGATGCAATATTAAATCATAATTGCATAAAATTCACAATAGTACATACAGTAATACTGTAATAATTTCGCAGCCACCTCCTCTTGCTATTGCAGTGAGCTCAGGTGTCTCCAGTATGCACTTAAAATGCTGTGTGATGCTAATCATCTCCACGTGGGCAGTCGTCTCTCCAGTAAATTGCATATCACAGTAAAAAGTAAGCTCTTGTGGTTCTCAAGTAGTATTTTTTGTTGTGTTTAGTGTAATATCTTAAAGCTTGAATAACACCATGGGACCCATACAAAGTGTTGTGAGTGATGCTGGAATTTCTCTGAAGAAGCAGAGAAAAGTCATGACATTAAAAGAAAAAGTTATATTGCTTGATATGTACTATAGATTGAGGTCTGCAGTCATGGTAGCCTGCTATTTCAAACAGATGGTTCATATTGTAAACAGATGGCATAAATTTATGATATCTATAAATATACTTCAGTACTGCAAATGTATTTTCTCTTCTTATGATTTGCTTAACAATATTTCCTTTTCTCTAGCTTACTTTACTGTAAGAATATAGCACATAATACATGCAACATAGAAAATACGTATTAATCAACTGTTTATGTTACTAATAAGGCTTCCAGTCAATGGGAGGCTATCCGTGGTTAAGTTTTAGAGAAGTCAAAAGTTATGCATGAATTTTTGACTGTGCCAGTGTTGGTGCCACTAACTCACGCGTTGTTCAATTGTCAACTATATATCTTACTGGTCCCACTTTAATGTAATAATTTTAATTGTGGCCTTCTGAGAGTCTGCAACTCTTTTTAAAATATAAATTATTACTCTTTGTCAACTAACTTATTACTTACAGTTTTCTTTGTAACAAAAAGAAAATAACCAAACTTGAAGAATTATTTACTATCTACGTCACTAAGGTTCTTTTATAAAGTGTTTAAACTTTATGGCAATTGTTTTAGCTACTAAAAGTATTTTTCACTTATTTCTAAGTTATATTATCATGGGTTGAGGTGGTTGAAATTCCAGAATATGAAGGGCAGGAATATTGGGGGAGAGAAATTTACTTTAATACATGGAGCTAAAAATGGACTTTTTACATTGATTGGTTTTCTGAAAAATCAAGCTACTTAAATTAAAAACGTAGTAAATAATAGTGACTTATACATTTTCTTTGTTTAATCACTTGCAGATAAACTACAGGCCTCCATCTAATATGGGAATTGCTATTCCACTCACAGATAATTTTTATCATGCAGATCCTAGCAAACCCATACCAAGAAATCTATTTTACAAGTCAAAGGTAATTAATTTTTCTACAAATAAACTAGCATTTATTGGAATTCAAGAAATCATTCAGTAAAATTATATATGGACCTAGCTGTGGGGATTAAATGGTAAGGGGCAGCTAGTAGTAGTAGTAGTACTGCTACTACTCCTGTTCCTCCTCCTTCTGGTTTAAACCTTCTCCTTTGACATCTATTCCTGGATATGGTTTTGGAGTTAAGAAGTCTAAATGGACTCCTTTCCCTTGACTCTCCCTAGCTCCCACTTGGATTTCATAGGTGGGGTGAGAGCATCTTCTCTCAAATGAAAGGAGCCCCAGACCCATCTTATGTCTTCAGCCATGTGCAAGGAATGGTGTCCATAAGGAAAGAAGACTATTCACTCCAATGTAGGCACATTTAAATTCCTGCTAAGATTCTGCCTCGAAAATAACCAAACCCAGCAACACTCTGCCTGTCTTGGGGCAGAATGAGTGAAGCAGAGAGAAGAGAGGAGCCGTTAGATTCAAGGAAAAGTACAGCATGGGGTAGCTTCTCCAAGAAACCTCAAAGATGCTGGTGTAATCTCTCTCCAGACAAATGCCCCTACCTGCCCCTACTTATACAAATAGACAGGCATATCTACTTAGACATACATGCACACACACAAACACATAAAATCGGTGTTTCTTTTATTCAAAACTCTCCACTGTCTTCCAATCTCATTCAGAGTGAAAACCAAATTCTTACAATGGTTTATAAGGTCCTCCATGATTTGGCCTTGGCATTACATCTGACCTGATTCCCCAGCTTACTCTGCTGTAGCCACAGTGGCCTCTTCGCTGTTTCTCAAATATGCCAGACATAGTTCCATCTTGGAGCCTTTGCAGTTGCAGAAAATCCCGTCTAGAATGTTCCTCTGCCAGATATCTCACATGGCTTACTCTGTCACCTTCTTCAGGTGTTTGCTTAAATGTCACCATCATGGCCAGCCCCCTCCCTGACCACTCAGAATCGTTACCCCCATCTCCATTGTGCCCCCACTCCCTACTCCCTTTTCCTGCACTGTTTTTCTCCATATCACTCATTACCATTTTACATGTTTTACTTATTTATTTTATTTATTGTTTTTCTGATATCATAAGAAGGTAAGCTCATTAAGGCAGGGGTTTTGGTCTATTTTCTGCTCTACTAGATCTCCGGTACCCAGAACAGTGCCAGACGTAGGGACATGCTTAAAAATTGTTGAACAGACTAACAATACACATTACACACACATGTATACTCGCATGTGTGTTAAGAGGTTAACAGAGTTCTTGTTAAATCTTGGATTTCAGGTTAAGAAGCTTCTGAGTAGTAACTAGGATACTGAGTTCTTCTCCACTTCCAGTTTCTCCCAAAGACAAACCATACTGTGTCACTAGAAGCACTTCCTCTATTGAAATATGCCTTTACTACATTTACAGGAAAGCTCTAGTTTTCTGGGATTCTCCCTGAGTATTTTCTTGAAAGTTAAATAGGAAACATGTCTAATTTACACCTAAGTAAATAAGAATGTTTAAATGCACCTTTTATGCATCCAAAAATTGTTAATTTCACCACTTACAGTATTATCAGGCACTATAGATTCTCTGAGAATATAGCAATGAACAAGATAAACATGGTATCCTCATGGACTCTGATAGGGGAGAATAGGTATTAAACACAAAGTTATACAAGTTAAATAGTGTCATCTGGTGCAGTGCTTCTAAACAGTATGGCCCTGTATAACCTGATCCAGAATTCTGTGAAAATATGTTTACAATGCAGCTTTCCCAATCTCACCTCATAGCTACTGAATCAGAAACTATGGGGGTAGGGGACAATCCTGAAATCTGCATTTAAAAAAAAGTCTCTGCAGTTGATTCTATTTATCCCAAAGTTTAGGATAGACCAATAGTAGAGTTAGACACAAAACAAGCAATATGACTGTGTATCAGGAAGTCAGGAAAGATATCCCTGATGAAGTGCTTCTGAAACAAGACTGAAAGATGAATAGGCATTAACCCAGCAAATGAGGGGAGAATGGTAGCACAGAGAGGGAAACAGGAGACAGAGAGCATTCCAGGCTGAGGAAACACCATGCACAAAGGTGGACGTGGGGAACTTTTGAGTCTTATCATTTAAGAAATACATTTCATAAGGCAATTGCCACCATAGATAGTGATTCCTCTGATAAATCTGCGCAAGGTCAATTGAAAACCTTTTGGAAAGGATTCACCATTCTAGATGCCATTAAGACCATTCATGATGCATGAGAGGAAGTCAAAACAGCAATAACAACAGGAGTTTGAAAGAAGTTGATTTTGATTCCAAATCTCATGGATGACTTGGAGGAGTTCAAGACTTCAGTGGAGTAAGTAATTGCAGATATGGCAGAAATAGCAAGAGAACTAGAATTAGAAGTGGAACCTGTAGATTTGACTGAATTGCTACAATCTCATGATCAAACTTGAATGAATGAGGAGTTACTTCTTATGGATAAGCAAAGAAAGTGATTTCTTCAGATGGAAACTACAACTGATGAAGATGCTATGAACATTGTTAAAATGACATCAAAGGATTTTGAATGTTACATAAACTTAGCTGATCAAACAGTGGCAGGGTTTGAGAGAATTGACTCCAATTTTGATAGATGTTCTACTGTGGGTAAAATATTATTAGATAGCATTACATGCTACAGAGAAAGCTTTTGTGAAAGGAAGAATCAATCAATATGGTAAATTTCATTGTCATCTTATTTTAAGAAATTGCCACAGCCACCCCAACCTTCAGCAACCACCACCCTGATTAGTCAGCAGCCATCAATATTGAGGTATCAAAAAGATTGTGACTCACTGAAGGCTCAGATGATCATTACCATTTTTAGCAATAAGGTATTTTAGTTAAGATATGTACATTGTTTTATTATACATAATGTTATTGCATACTTAATAGACTAGAGAATAGTGTAAACATAGGTTTTATATGCACTGGGAAACCAAAAATTTGTGTGGCTTGCTTTATTGCAATATTTGTTTTATTGCAATGGTGTGGAACTAAACTCACAATACCGCTGAGGTATGCTTGCACTATGAACAATTGTGTGCCAACAAATTAAATAACCTAGATAAAATGGACAAATTTATGGAAACATAGAAATTACCTAAGCTGACTCAAGATGAAATAGAAAACCTCAACAGCCCTAAGATAGGTAAAGAAATTGTATCATTAATCAAAAACCTCCAAACAAAGAAAAGTCCAGAGATGAATGGCTTCACTAGTGAATTCTTCTAAATATTTAAAGAAGAATTAAGACCAATCCATCTCAAACTCTTCCAAAAATAGAATAGGAAGGATTACTTCGTAACTCATTCTATTAGGTCCAATACTAAAGAAGGATAAAGACATCATAAGAAAACATAATGAGTGAGATATGCAATGTTTGGGGGATGGTCACGCTTGAAGCTCTGACTCGAGGGGGGAGGAGAGGATGGGCAGTATATGTAACCTTAACATTTGTACCTCCATAATATGCTGAAATAAAAGAAGTGGGGGGGGGAGAAAAGAAAATTACAGACCAATATTTCTATGAATATAGATGCAAACTCCCCAATAAAATACCAGCAAACCAAATCTAACAGCATATTAAAAAGATTATACACAATGATCAAGTGAGACTTGTCACAGGAATGCAAGGGTAGTTCAACATAAGAAAATTAATCAATATAATACACCACATTAGTAGACTAATGGGGGGGAAATCAGATGATCATCTCAAATGCCTTAGAAAAGGCATTTGACAAAATTCAACACCCTTTTGTGAAAAAAAAAAAAAACAACTATGAAAAAAAGGAAACCTTCTCGGCCTGATAAAGGGCATCTACAAATGCTTATGCCTAAATGTTGTTTCATTAACTCACTGTTAACATACAAATAGTGAAAGACTGAAAGTTTTTCCCCTAACATCAGGAACAAAATAAGGCTCTTGCCACTTCTATTAAGTATGTTACTGGAAGTTTCAGCCATGGCAATTAGGCAAGAAAATAAAAAGCATCCAGGTTTGAAAGAAAAAAGTAAAATTATCTTTGCTCACAGATGACATGATGTTACATATAGAAAATCCCAAAACACACACAACACACACATCCACACACACACACACAAAAAAAAAACTAAAACTAATAGAACTATTAATAATAATAAATGAGTTCCATAATATACTATAATCAGTTGTATTTCTATACAGTAAAATGTGTATCTGGTAAGGATCACATGTCCAGACTATATAAACTATTCTTACAACTCAACAACAAAAAAGACAAACTGCCCAATTAGAAATGGATGAAAGTCTCAAATAGATGTTTCTCCAAAAAATATATATAAATGTCCAACAAGCCCATGAAAAGATGGTCAACATCATTAGTCATTAGAGAAACACAAATCAAAACCACAAAGACTGCATATAGATTTAAATAAGAAACAAAACCTGTAAAGTTGTAACATTTCACATGGAAATGCTGCCCAATCTTCACCAGCTTCAGAAATCTGACCTTTGCTGATGTTGCAACAGAGTGTTGTAATTAAAAACAAAAAAAAAACCCACAAAGAGATACCACTTCACAGCCATTAGGATAGCTATAATAATACTGAAAAATAATATGTAAATAAGTGTTGGCGAGAATGTGGAGAAATTGGAATCCTCATACATTGCTGGTGGGAATGTAAAATGGTATAGCTGCTTTGGACAATAGTTTGACAGTTCTTCAAAAATGAAACATAGAATTACTATATGACCCAGCAATTCTGCTACCAGATATAGCTAAGAGAAGTATGCTTTCAATTCAAGTAAAAATGAATGACAAATGAACAGACAGTGGAGATTTTAGATACCACTAATGAATGCTATGACAAAAGACAAGCATGAAATTGTATGTTTGGGGGGTGTGCAGCCCCATACTCTGGTCTGTTCCTTGTAGTCTCCGTTTGTATGCCTGTGATGGGAGGGGCCAGGAGCACTTAGTCTGGTATCCTGACAGTTAGTCTGGTGTCCTGACGTGCGGAACTCAGAATGAGGCAGGCTTTCCAGGTCCTGCGCAACCATATGGGTCTGAACTAGCAAGCCCCTGAGTGAAACCAGGGTTCAAAGTACCAAGCAAGGAGACAAATAAAATTCAGAAATATTGTCCTTGCTCTCTTAATTAATGGATTATTCTCCCTTTTAACTTCTTGGGAATTTTATTTATTCAGGGAACAAATATTTATTGAGTTTACAGGAATCCTGCAATACAAAAAAGCAAGTTAACCTGTTACTTCTATTTGCAGAAAGCTGGTAAATTCAAACAGTGTACTAATGCTTCTACTCGGCAGGAGTGTAATTGCACAAATGATCAGAAGATTTCACATGCTGTTGCGTTTTCAGATTGCAGAGAAAGAGTAAGATAATTTTTAATTTCATATTAAGATTTTGAAATGTGCCTTTTGGTTAAACATGAAAACTAAGACATAGAAATAATATCATGTTATGACAGAACCAAATATGACACAGAGCTAGAATGATCTGGTTTTAAATGTACTGGACAAATTAATGAACCTCAGGTATAAAATAATACCTGCACTGTTCCATCCATTTCACAGAATTCTTATAAAGATACACACACACACACACACACACACACACACACACACCCCTATCTATATGAAAGCAATCTGTAGCCTGTAAAACACTATACTAGATTATGGTAAATATTTATTCATTCAAAAAATTTTGAGTATCTAATATGTATCAGGTTCTTGAAATATAGACATCAAAGTCCTTGTAATCAAGGATCTCAGTCTGGTGGTAGTGACAAATAAAAGACATTGTAATAGGATGGTTAAGAGAATGGGTTCTGTGTCAAATAATCTTTCATTCTGTTAGTATCAAAATACTCAAAGGCATGTCAAGTTAATGTTGGTGCTTACATTAGTAGAGTCAAATGTGCAGTTGGTATACTGTTCAAGCAGATCCATTTCAAAGTCTGTGTAAGACTATACAGAGAGAGACACTATATATTAAATAGACTATATGTAAGACTATATATGATACATAGACTGTCTTATATAGAGAGACTATATATTATGGTCCTATATACTATATGTTGGGCATAGAGTCAGCATTCAGTAAATTATGAGGGGTGTTATTATATACCTTCTTGCTGAACTAAAATAATATTTCTTGAGTATTTGTTATCTACTAAATGCTACTCTAAGCCTTCTCCATGATTTGTCTCATTTAATGTTAGTCACAGAGAAGTGAGGCAATTTGCCAAAGACCTCACTATTAACATACATTGCGGCTGGATTTGAACTCCAGAAGTTGCATTTACAGATTATGCCTAAAAGACTGTGACAGGCCAGAAGAGTGCTGAAAGGGTGAGACCCAATTCATGCAGGGCCTCACAGGATATGGTTTGGCCAAAACAAGTTTGAATGACATCATACTAATTTCCCATGGAAAAGGCCAATAGAAGTTACAAGCCTTATGACAACAGTGTTTACTGCCTTTGGTGTTCCCGTTGATTCTACTGTAAGGCAAGAATTTTTCATGCCTGAAAAGACAGAAACCCTAAGAAGCACATTTCATTATGTATCTACTCATTCTTTACCAGGAAATGAAGTTACTACTAAATTTTCCAAATTTACATTCATTCTTGGAATTTATATTTTAGGTTCCTCGTTTTAAGTTTCCAGTTATACAATATCCGATTTCTTTGGAAATTTATAATAAGAATGGAAGTATCCCAGTGAAATCTCCATATCTGGTTACTGTGACTGAAGTGAATATGAGGAAGAACTGGGATCTAAGTAGGGTTTGCTTTCTTCTAGAATTATTTCATTTTATAAGTAATGTTATTACTGGTTTACAAAGGTCAGTGGTTTACAAAGCCTGTCTATACAAGAGATAGCCAGGAGTTCTTTAGAAAATGATTCATATCAGTTGGCACATTGCTGTTTACTTCTATTGTTTTCCTCTTATTTCATCATCACTTCCAGTGACCTGCATTCTATGGCATAAAAGCATTTTTGAAGAATTTAAACTGCAAAAAATTTGAAAGCCATTTTGTAGATTAGTAGCAACAATGATTGATTGAATCTGTACTACATGCTTGTCTAGTGTCCCCTTTCACTGTTTATTCAGTGTTACAGAGGAGGTTACAAAAGGTGTTGCCAGTAATCTTTAGGATCTATCTTCGAATTATGTGAGTAAAGTTTCTTAAAGATTTTTATTGTAAAATAATTGAAAAGATGCAGAAATATCTTTAAATAAGGTATTTACCTCAATCCAATTTTACCTTGATTATCTACCTTTCTGTTTCACATTATGTATTTGTTCATATATGAATACTTTGAGTAGATAGATGGATAAATAGAATTAACTAAATAGAAATTTTTATCAATAATTAATAGGTACTAAATATCCAGACATTTGATATTCAGTGAGCTTTACTCTAACAAATGCATTTTTGAAATGAAAAATCTCACAAATTAAAACTAAAAAAGATTTTGCTTTAACTAACATTCTAATTTTCTGTGGTGTACTGGAGGCTGCTCTTACCAGATTTGGAGTACTGATTGTTGAATATTGAAGCATTTTACAATCTAGTTGTTAAACCATTGAAATTAGCCATGGAAAGAGTATTTACACCATGGAAATTGGCAAATGCTACAGTCAGAGCTTTTTTTCCCCTTTAGATACTGTGTACCATTACACCACTGCAATTTCTTTTTTTTTTTTAATTTTTTTTATTTTAGCATATTATGGGGGAAGAGATTTTAAGGTTTCAATAAATGCCCTTTCCCCCCCCCCCACAAGTCTGAGTTTCCAGCATGACCATCCCCCAGATGGTGCACATCTCACTCCTTATGTTATATATATACCCACCCTCCTCCCCCTCCCACCTGCCCAATACCCTATTTACTGTAGTACCTATGTGTCTACTTAGGTGCTACTCAGTTAATACCAGTTTGCTGGTGAATATATCTGGTGCTTGTTTCTCATTCTCGGGATACTTCACTTAGTAGTATGGTTCCAGCTCTAACCAGGAAAATATAAGATGTGCTATATCACCATTGTTTCTTAGAGCTGAATAGTACTCCATGGTATACATATACACATTTTATTAATCCATTCTTGGATGAGGGCACTTGGGCTGTTTCCACTGCCTTGCAATTATGAATTGTGCTGCTATAAACATTCGAGTGCGGTGTCTTTTTTGTAGAGTGTCATTGGATCTTTTGGGTAAGATGCCCAGCAATGGGATTGCTGGATCAAATGGTAGATTCACTTGTATCGCTTTAAGGTATCTCCATATTGCTTCCACAGGGTTGAACTAGTTTGCAGTCCCACCGCAGCTGTAGGAGTGTTCTCTTCTCTCCACATCCACGCCAGCATTTGTTATTTGGAGACTTTTGATAAAGGCCATTCTCACTGGAGTTAAGTGATATCTCATTGTAGTTTTGATTTGCATTTCCCTGATGATTACAGATGTGAGCATTTTTTCATATGTTTGTTGGCATTTCTGTCTTCTTTAGAAAAGTTTCTTTCAAGTCCTTTGCCCACTTTTTAATAGGTTATTTGATTTTTCTTGCTGATTTTCGTGAGTTCTAAGTATATTCTAGGTATCAGCCCTTATATCGGATACGTAGGATGCAAAAATTTTCTCCTATTTGTAGGTTTTCTTACTTTAATACTAAATATTCTCGTGCTGTGCAGAAGCTTATTGTAGTTTCATCATGTCCCATTCCTCCCCATTTATTTTTTCCCGGTTGCCTGCTGGTGATTGCCTTTGGGGACGTTCTTCATAAACTCTTTTCGCTAGGCTGATGGTCTAGGAGAGTGTTTCAACATTTTCCTCTAGAATTCCTTCTACAAGTGGTTATACAGTTCCCCCCCCCCCCCCCCCCCCCCCCCCTCCCCCCCCCCCCCCCCCCCCCCCCGCCCCCCCCCCCCCCCCCCCCCCCCCCCCCCCCCCCCCCCCCCCCCCCCCCCCCCCCCCCCCCCCCCCGCCCCCCCCCCCCCCCCCCCGTTTCCCACACCATTTATTGAAAAGGGATTCCTTTACCCCAGTGTATGTTTTGTCTGCTTTGTCAAAGATTAATGGCTATAATGAGGATGATTAATAATCAGTTGTATTCTCAGCAACTGTTCCAACTGGTCCATTCCCTATTTGTGCCAATACCGATTGTTTTTAATACTACCAGATTTGGTAGTATATTTTGATATCTGGCATATTAATTCCTCCCTTTGTTTTTGTTGCCTAGAACTGTGTCTTGATATTCGGTCTTTTTGGTTCCATACAAAGCGTAAAATTATTTTTCTATATCTTTGAAGAATGCTTATGGATTTAATAGTATGCATTGAAACGTAGACTCAGTTTGGGTAGTATAGAACATTTAATGGATGTTGAGTCTGGCCAACCCTCGAGCATCGGGAATGGATTTCCATCTGTTACATTCTCTGCTATTTCCTTCAACTCAGTGTTTCATAGTTCTCCCAGTAGAGGTTTTTACCTCTTGGTTAAGTATACTCCTAGGTACTTAATTCCTTGTGCTATTTGTGAAGGGTATTGAGCTTTAATTTGGGTTTCTCAATTTGATTTTGGTTGGCGTTACGAAGCCTCTGATTCTGTGTATTGAGGTTTGTATCCTGAGACTTTCAATTTCATTGATCAGTTCCAGATTCTTGGTTGAATTCTTGGTTTTCCTAAATATCAATATCATATCACCAGCAAACAGTCTGAAAGTTTGATTCTCTTCTGGCCCCTATTTGGATACCTTTAATCCATTTTTCTGTCTGATTGCTGTAGCCAGGACTTTCCAGCACTATGTTGAATAGAAGTGGAATAGTGGGGCAGCCTTGTCTGGTTCCAGTTCTAGTGGGGAATCTTTCAGTTTTCCCATTCATAGATTTGCTATGGGTCTGTCATATATGGCCTTGTATCATTTTTAGGTATGTCCCTTCTATGCCTATTTTTCTTAAGTGTTCGTATCATCGAAAAGGTGTTGAATTGTCAAAAGCTTTTTCTGCATCTATTGAAAGAATCATGTGGTCTTTGTTTTGCTCTGTTTATGTGCGTGAATTGCATTTATAGATTTACGTATGTTGAAGCCATCCTGCAATCCCTGGGATGAACCATTGGTCGTGATGGGATATTTCTTTGAATAGAGCCTGGATTCGGTTAGCTAAGATTTTTTGAAATTTTTGCATGTATCATTAGGGAACTTGTCTGTAGCTTCTTTTTTGTTGATCCTTTCCTGGTTTTGGTATCAGAGTAATATTCCGCTTCAAAAATGTCGGGAGGTTCCTGTCTCTCGATGTTGTGGGAATAGTTTCTGCAAGATAGGACTAGTTCTTTTTTGTAAGTGTGGTAAATTCGGGGTGAAAGCCATCTGGACCCGGACTTTTCTTTTAGGGAGATTTTTAATTGGCTGTTTCTATTTCAGCATTGATATTGGTCATGTTTCAGGGAATCTATTTCTTCTGATTGAGCCTAGGAGGCTGTGTGTTCTAGAATTTGTCCATTCCTCCACATTTTCAATTTGTGTGTAATAAAGATTTTTAGTACTCATTAATTATATCTTGTATCAATTTGGGATCAGTTGTATATTCTCCTTTTTGTTTCTGATGGAGCTTATTAGAGATTTCTCTTTTCTGCTTTTCCTTAGCTTTAGCCAGTGGGCGTGTCAATTTTGTTTATTTCTTAAAGAACCAACTTTTTTTTGTTAATCTCCTGAAAAACTTCCCTGTTTTCAAATTTCGTTAGTTCGAATTTGATCTTGTTGATTCACTTCTTCTTGCTGGATTTGGGTTGGTCTTTCTTCTTTTTCCAGCTCTTGAGTCGTTTCTTAGATTGTCTATTGTAATCTTTTGTCTTTTGGTTATAGGCATTTATGGAGACAAACTTTCCTCTCAGAACTGGCTTAGCCTATGGTTCCCAGAGATTTTGATACTTTGTCCTCATTGTCATTTCTTCATAGAATTTTTTATTTCCATCTTGATTCTTCATTTATGAAGTATCATTTAGTAAAAGGTTGTTTAATTTCCACTTTTTGCGTAGAAATTTGATTTCTTTACGGTTTGATTTCTACTTTTATGTCCATGTGATCTGAGAAGCATACATGGTATGATTTCTATTTTTTAATTTCTTGAAGTTTACTTTGTGTCTAGGATTGTCATTCTTATAGAATATCCCGTGGCTGTTTAGAGGAACTGTAATATTCGGTGATTTTGGTAGAATGTTCTGTAAATGTCTGTCAGACCCAATGTTTAGAGTTTTGTTTAAGTCCATTATTCTTTATTAATTTCTGTTTGGAGGATCTTGTCTCGTGCCATCAGTGGGTGTTGAAATCCGTGATTATGGAGTTTGCTATTAATCCATTTGTTAGCTCCAGTAAGATTTGCTTTATGAATCTGGGGCATGCCCCAAGTTGTGCATATATGATTTAAAATTGTTATCTCTTCTTGTTGAACTGTGCCCTTCACCATTATATAATGACCCTCTTTTTCTTTCACTATTTTTGTTGCTTTAAAAACTAAATCGTCTTGAAATTAGAATGCCACACCAGCCTTCCTTTTGGCTTCTATTGCTTGGAATACTGATCTCCCACCTTTTATTTATAGTCTATATCATCCTTGCAGCGTTAGATGTTTTCCTGAAGACAGCATATACTTGGCCTGTATTTTCTTACCATTCAGCCAGCCTATGTCTCTTGAGTGAGAGTTTAGCCATTCACATTTATTGAGAGAACTGATAGGTAAGGTAGATTACTGTTCATTCTGTTGGGTTGAATGTTGTTGCTATGATTTCTGTCTTGAGCCATTGTAGTATCTGGCCTTTAATCTTTGGGTTTTGTTTTTTTTTTTTTTTTTTTTGAGACAGAGTCTTGCTTTGTTGCCCAGGCTAGGAGTGAGTGCCGTGCGTCAGCCTAGCTCCAGCAACCTCAATCTCCTGGCTCAAGCGATCCTTCTGCCTCAGCCTCCAAGTAGCTGGACTACAGGCATGCCCACCATGCCCGGCTAATTTTTTATATATATATATTAGTTGGCAATTAATTCTTTTATTTATAGTAGAGACGGGTCTCGCTTCTGCTCAGGCTGTTTCGAACTCCTGACCTCGAGCAATCCGCCCGCCCTCGCCTCCCAGAGAGCTAGGATTACAGGCATGGAGCCCACCCGCCCGGGTTGGTTGTTTTTATATTCGTGGGTTATTATTATGATGTTCCATGTGTAACGCTATTTTGAGTACTTCTTGTATGGCTGGTCTTGTCTTGGTGAATTCTCTGAGCCTTTGCTTGTCTGAGAATGTCTTTATTTCTCCTTCATATATGAAGCTTAGTTTTTCAGGGAATAAGATTCTAGGTGGGCATTGTTTTGTTTCAAAGAGGTGAGAATGGGGCCCAGTCTCTCCTTGTTTGTAAAGTCTCATTAGAGAAGTCTGGTGTTATTCGAATTGGCTTTCCCTTGTATGTTACTTGCTTCTTTCGTCTTACAACTCTTAGAAGGGCCTCTTTAGTTGATACTTTGGTCAGTCTGATGACTGCATGTTGTGACATCTTCCTGTTTGCATTGAATCTCCCAGGGGTCCTCTGAGCTTCTTGAACTTGTATATCGAGATTTTGAGCAAGGCCTCGGAAATTTTCCTCTATTATATCTTCAAACAGCTTGTCCAACCCTTGAGTGTTGTCTTCTTCCCCTTCTGGTAACCCTATGACCCTCAACATTAGGTTTCTTCACATAATCCCACAGTCTTGTAGGCTTTGCTCTTTTCTCTTGTTTCTCTGCTCTATCTCTGTGACTGATTTATTTAATTGGAGAGTGTTATCTTCAAGCTCTGAGATTCTTTCTTCTGTTTGATCTACCCTGTTCTTGAGACTTTCCACTGTATTTTGTAGTTCCTTGAATTGATTCTTCATTTCCAGGAGTTTGGTTACACTTTTCTTCATTGTGTCTATTTCTTTTCCCATATCCTGGAGGCTTTTTGTGGTTTCTTTGTGTTGGTTATTGAGTTGTTCTTGCAGGTCGGTGAGTGTTCTTATGATCCACAGACGAAATTCCTCTTCTGTCATTTTGTTTGCCTGATTTTGGTTGGTGCCTGTTTCTAGGGGGCTGGGGCTCCTCTTTGGGGGTGAGTTTTCCATTTGGTTCTTCATATTTCCTGAGTTCCTTCGCTGATTTCTTCCCATATCGATCAGTTGTTGTTTTTTTTCTTTAGGTTTTTGTTTGGGTATTCACACACCTTGTTTAGTTTCTGAGCCGGAAGGTGGTGTCGGTGGGTGAGATTCAACCACTCCCTGTATAATGAGTCAGTGGGTGTCCTGAAAAGGGTGTGCAGGATGTTCTCCCTGTCAATAGGTGGCACTTTCTTGGAGGAACAGGCTATGCTGTTGTTTTTATGCACTGTTATCAGCTCTTATTCCTGTAGAGAGAACTCTAGTGCCTCAGGTGGTGGGTGGGGCCCTGGGACTTCCAGGTGTGTCCTTTTCTCCCCTTCAGTGAGGGCTAGTCTAGGAGAGAGTCTGGGCGAGCTGGGTTGGGTAAGCCTGCCCTCAGGCCGTTAGCAGGGGTCAAAGTTCTGTTCTCTGCTTCCAGGCAAAGCTGTCAATGAGGGGCTGAAATGGCCCCACTCAGTCAGAAAGTCTGCGTGTGGGGGTGGGGCTGTCTGAGATCCGCAGTCTGGAGCGGGCCTTGCTTCTTTCCACCCTCCCCAACTCCGCAGCTACTCCTGGGCCTCTGCCCGCAGGCCAGACCACACGTCACCAGGCCTCCCCTGGCTGTGCTGCCGGTGGGGAGGTTCCCTGCTGGGGAGGTTCCCTGCGCAGGAACGCCACCTGGGCTGGGTGCAGAGCCTCCCTTTGAGAGGAGGGTTGCCCTCTAGGACACTGATCTGCCCCTGAAGGCACACACACCTCAGTAGGCTGTTCACAAATATCCCTTCTGTGCCCCAGGCAATGCGAGGCCTCGGTGCACGGGATGTGGTCTGCAGGTCTGACCTCTGGGTCCCAGAGTTCAAACTGTATCTCCACCAGGGAGAGCAGTGCCAGTCCCAATTCACCCACAGGTAGCCCACGCTGCGTCTATGTCTCTCAACCTCAGAGTCTGCCCTGTTCTCCTGGGATCACTTTGCCAGCAGCACCTGGGAGGGCTGGCGGGTAGGGAGCTCACAGTCTGAGTTCCCCTTAGTCAGCTGTAGGGCCCCAAAAGGGAAGGTCCTGTTCCCTGTAGGTGCCTCTGGCTGGTGGCTATATTGTCTCTCTGTCTCTCTGGGCAGCCGCGGGGAGGGTCAGTGGAGGGGAGAAGGAGGCAATATGGCGCCTGCCACGCAGCTCGGGTCTGTGCACACGGAGGTGCCCCAAGGGAGTTGGCAGCCCGGTGCTGCATCCGCCACTGGCTTACCGCTCACTGGCAGCGGCCATCGCTGGGCTGGTGTCCGCAGGTCTCTCCACTCGCTGGGGAGCCCACCAGCAGTCCGGGATGCAGGGGAGGGGAAACGGCCGATACTTCCCGCTGGTCTCCGGGCTGCTCCGGCGGTCCCAGCTTCCAGTTCTCCTCCGTGACCTCCTCCCGTGGAGTCTCCCGTAGTCTTAGGTACTCCTCCTTCCGACCCTCATCTGATGTAGGCTCGTCTTCTTGCTTCTTTCTTCTGATTTCTGCTAGAATCTGTCTTTTCTGCAGAGACACTCTGTCTGGCGGTGTTTCTCATCCGCCATCTTTTCCCCTTCTCTTCACACCACTGCAATTTCTAACCCCTATACTACCTATCCAGTTTTAGAGAGGATGATAGGAAAGGCAAGAGTAACTGATCACTTGTTTTAGAAAAGATTTAAGTAATCCTATTGTAAAACTTTACTGCTGCCTTATTGAAAATCATTTACCCACCTCTAAGGAGGTCCTGAGATGATCTTACTGCCAAAAACATAAGGAATGTGCAAATCAGGACAGGTCATGAGCATGGAGCTAGGAGGAAAAGATCAGCTTAAAGGTGGTCAGAAGTCTTGTCCTTCTTGAGGATACACTCAAAGGCAATGGGAGATATGGAGACTAATTCCCCTTAATATATCTTTTACAAAGTCAACAAGAACCAAAAGTATAGGATAATTTAGTCATGTTACAGAATGGAATCTTTCATTGTATCTTAATGTATATAACAGATTTTATGCAAAATGAGAAAATAACGTGTGCTTAAAATATATTTCATGCATTTTTAGAATATACTGTACCAGAAAATATGAAAAGAATGAGAGAGTATTTAGAACCAATTCTTCAGACTTCAGTGTATAATCCTTTAGGTCTCAATTTAAGTATAAAGGTAAGTTGACAGCATTTTTGTTTTTACTATGTTGAGTTTAGAGAAGACATATATGCCTAAACTAACATTGGTTTTAGTTTTAAAGTATAGGTATCCATGAATGGTGAGAATAGCAACTTTAAAGTATTTGAAGAGGGTTTATTTTTCCTCAATTTCCCTTGATGTTATTAATTCTAAAAGTGTCTGACAGCTGAACTTAACATTAACTTACTTTTTTATAAGCTGATAAGCAAGACAGATTATTTAGTAAAGTGGAACAGAAAAGTTAGAGGGAAGAAGTGGGCTCATTATTTCACCTGGATATAAACAGGCACATGTCTTCTAGTTCCAGCTGCCCATAAGACCACATGAAGTTGATATAATCCAAGTAATTGTAAAAACCAATCAAAATTAGAGGACAGATCAAAACCACAAACATGAGGGTTAACCCAAGTGCTCCTCAAGGCCAAGTTAGGTTTTCTGTTTTTGTTTTTGTTTTGTTTTATGTTTTTGTTTCTTCATTCTAATATATATATTTATTATACATATTATATATAACATAATATCAGCTATTGAATACCTCTGTTTCAATTCCTATTTTCATTTTGATACATGATGTGTTTGTCTAAGAGCCTTAGGAAAGGGATGGGAATTTCTTATGCAACCTCTGTAGGGAAAGTGGCCCTGGGGTATATTTTTACTTAAAGGACTATACCATTGATTCTGCTAATGACTGTGTGTATTTTTCCACAGGGCTCTGAGCTTTTTCACTTTCGAGTGTCTGTTGTTCCAGGGGTCACTTTTTGCAACTTAGTTGAAGAATTTCAGGTATAGTGAATCTACAAGATATCAAATGGGTTGATGGTTAGGGAAAGAACATGATAGGTATCAATCCAGGAGCCTGAAGAGAAAAAATTAGCAGAATCTGTGTGATGGACAAGGCTTAGAGACAGGGGATTCTGGAGACTGGCAATGACATTGTCAGTAGTGGTAAAGCTAGGGTGCATGACAGGTGGCAACACTGACTGGAGAATTTTAATAAGTGGCTGTATTTGGTTTTGTTCCCTTGCCACCTTCCATGTTTAGTTTGACTTTCTGACTTTTAACTCTCTTCCTGTCACGCCCGCCTCTCCACAGGACACATGTCTATAACATTTAGTTTCCAGTCTTATCCTTCTTTTGGCTATGTGAATTGTAATAGTAGGGTCTTAAATATTCCAAAGGCTTTCAAGATCCAAAAGAATTGGGAACCAAAATCAGTTACCACAAATCATCACACAAAAGCAACAACTTGTTTTTGCCTATTCATATAATGCCATATGCTGCCTGTAGGGCATGGGAGGAATTAGGATTTGATAAAAATTGATTAATGACTCATTCATTGTCAAATACTGATGCCACATTAACATTCTCTCTCTCTCCTCTGTCTTTCCCCCACCCCCACTTTCTCTCCTTCTCCCCTCCCTTCTGTCCTGGCCCTGCTCCAAGGCCAGCCCCAATAATGACTCTGCACTATTACAGTGGTGGGTGGCCATGGCAGCAGTGCAAATATCTAAAACGCTGAGAGAATATCTATCCCACTAGATAGAGGAACTAGGAAAAGATATGCCTGTCTCATGAGGAGAGTGAGAGAAAATCCATTACTTTTTTCTCCCTTTTCTTACCTCTTTTCCCAAAGGCAACCCTAGTTGTGGGAATAGCACAATAGCACAAGGTACTAAAATTCTCATGTAATCTCAGCTTTCTTCCCAGAAAACTAGGGAAAAGGGCCTCTAGGAATGGAGAGTGTGGGGAAAATCCCTAAAAGAGCTAGAGAAGGAGATTCCTGATTCTGTACATAAACTAGCACAAATACCAAGATGCACATGAGCAGAACACACCTAAAGAAGCATCGCAAAGGCTTTGAAATAAAACTTCAATGTAAATACTATCTAGTTCCAGGACAACTCCTGAGTGGCACATGTACTAGGAAGACACAAATAACGTAGCAATAGCTAAGAAACTGAGCTGACATTGGAATTACCATGCACAGAAGATGAGGGATAACTTGTGATCTGAACTCAACCAGTGCAATTGACTGCCAAAACAAACACATAAACAATCAACATTTTCCAGAGAATTTTTAACAAGAACCAGAGTCTCATAATATGATATCCAAAATTTCTAGGATATAATCCAAAATTACTCTCTATACCAAGAACTAAGAAAATAGAATCAATTCTGAAGAAAAAAAAGATCAACAAATGCTCATTCCTTAAGTGCCCTAGGCAAGTAGTAGTCCCTCTTCTGCATTCCCACACTATTTGCCCATTTCTGCATGACTGAATACAGAATGTTCTCCTATTGTATAAGTGTCCTATCTGCCTCCCTCTGTCAATAAAGACAAGGTTACAGCATAGGATAATTGAGAGAATTCTTACTTCCTATTTATTGTGTGCAAGTTATTACTTGTCACATTGTTACAAAACTGTTTCTAAGCTTTGTGGATGCTGAATATCTGTATAATTCTAGGCAGAATTTTCCTAGGTGATTAATTGTGGGAATCTTGGAATGTTCAGTATTTTGCATTACTAGATTCAGAAACCTTAAAGATTTTGCTTTTTCTGTTGCAGATTTATGTTGATGAAGTGCCATTGCCATTTCCAGGACACACTCTTATTGCTATCGCAACGGCAGTAGTGCTAGGTGGATTAATTTTTACAGCATTTATGTTTCAAATGCGTGACATCCACCCGTGGAAGGCATTCCGAAAATGGCTTAGAGGAAACAAAGTGGAATCATCAAATATTTCTATCAGTGAAGTGATTCGTAAATGAAAATCTGAATAGTGAACAAATGATAATCATAATTTCTCTTTATTTTCTAGTTTTGTCAAATAATTCCTAGAACAATATATTTAAATGTTAAATACACAAACAAAAATGAAATAAAATAAATATGCAAACTAGATAAAATACTACAGAATTACCATTATAATTGAAATCGCTATTTGTCAATATGTTTACTATTCCATTTTTTTATTTTGAATACATAGAAAATTTCTTTTTTTTTAATCTCAGCATATTACGAGGGTACAAATGTTTGGGTTACATATATTGCCTTTGCCCCACACAAGTCAGAGCTTCAACAGTGTCCATCCCCCAGACAATGCACACTGCACCCATTAAATGTGAATATACCCCTCCCCGCCTCCCCCCTCCCGCCTGCCTGATACCCCATGAATGTTACTACTATATGTGCACGTTAAGTGTTGACCAGTTAATACCAATTTGATGATGAGTACATGTGGTGCTTGTTTTTCCATTCTTGTGATATTTCTCTTAGTAGAATGGGCTCCAGCTATATGCAGGATAATACAAGAGGTGCTAGATCACCATTGTTTTTTGTGGCCGAGTAGAACTCCATGGTATTCATATACCACATTTTATTAATCCACTCATGTATTGAGGGAAAAGACCTTGTGACCTAATCACCTCAGGAAGGCCCTATCTCTTAAAACGATTGCATTGGAGATTAAATTTCAACATGAATTTTGGAGATAAAAAAACATAATATTCCATGGAGTGGATTTTTTTTTTTTTTTTTGAGACAGAGTCTCGCTTTATTACCCAGGCTAGAGTGAGTGCTGTGGCATCAGCCTAGCTCACAGCAACCTCAAACTCCTGGGCTCAAGCAATCCTGCTGCCTCAGCCTCCCAAGTAGCTGGGACTACAGGCATGTGCCACCATGCTCGGCTGATTTTTTCCATATATATTAGTTGGCCAATTAATTTCTTTGTATTTATAGTAGAGACAGGGTCTCACTCAGGCTGGTTTTGAACTCCTGACCTTGAGCAATCCACCTGCCTCGGCCTCCCAGAGTGCTGGGATTACAGGAATGAGCCACCGCGCCCTTCCCATGGAGTGGATTTTTTTAACCATTCACTCATAAAAGAACATAAGGGTTGTTTGCAGTTTTGGCTGTTATGAATAAACTGTTATAAACAGCTATGTGCAGCTTTTTTTGTGAATATAAGTTTTTATTTTTCTAAGATAAATGCCCAGGAATGCGATTGCTGAGTCACGTTTAGTTTCAGTTTTTTAAGAAACTGACAAACTACTTTCCACCAGTTATGTATAAGTGATCCTGTTGCTCTGCATCCTCCCCAGAATTTGGTATTGTCAATATTTTTTATTTTAGCCATTGTTAGATGTGTAGTGAGATCTCATTATGGATTGAATTTACATTTCCCTAAAGGCTAATGATGCTGAACATCTTTTCATGTGTGTATTTGCCATCACTGTATTCTCTTTGCTCATATGTTTGGCCATTTTCTAATTCTAATTGGATTGTGTGTTTTTACTGTTGAATATTGAGCATTCTTTATATATTCTAGAAAAAAATACTTTTTCAGATATGTGATTTGCAAATATATTCTCCCAGAATGTAGATTATCTTTTCATCCTATTAACAACACAGGAACTGTCACAGAGGAAGTTTTTTAATTTGATAAAGTTTAGTAAATCAGTTTTTCCTTTTATGGAGTTTGCTTTTAGTGTGAAGTCCGAAAATTCTTTTCCTATTCCTAAGTCCCAAAGAATGTCTGTGAGAATTTTTGCTAAAATGTTATAGCTTTACATTTTACATTTAAGGGTCCTGCTCTGTCACCCAGGCTGGAGTGAAGTGGCACCATCGCAGCTCACTGCAACCTTGAATCCCCATGCTCAAGTAAGTAGCTGGGACTAAAGGTGCATACCACCACATTTAGCTAATTTTTTAAAATTCTTTTTTAGAGACAGAGTCTTGCTATGCTGCTCAGGCTGGTCTCCAACTCCTGGCTTCAATTGATCCTTCTACCTCATCCTCCCAAATTGCTGAGATTTCAGGCATGACCCACCACACCTAGCCTGAGTTAATTTTTTATAAGGTTGAACTTAGGTCAAGGTTCATTTGTGTGTGTGCATGTGCATGTCCAGCATATTTGTTGAAAAGGCTATCCTTCCTCCATTGAATTGTTTTTGCACTTTTGTAAACTATCAGTTGGGGATATTCGTGTGTCTCTATTTCTGGGTTCTCTATTCTGTTTCATGGATCTTCATATCTATCTCGTCACAAATACCACATAGTCTTGAATACTGTGGCTATATGTATTAGGCTGAATGATGGCCCCAAAAAAAGATATGTCCACACCCTCATTCTACAAAACTATGAATATCACCTTAAAATGGCAAAAGAGTGAATATTAGCTTACGTGGCAAAAGATGTAATTTAGTGAAGGACCTTGAGAGGTTTCCAATGAAATTACCTGGGCCTGAAGATTTCTTTTTGAGGAGATCTGTAATTCCAAATTCATAAGGCATTTATAGTCATGAGGCTATTCAAACTATCTGTTTCATATTGGGTGAGTTGTGGTAGTTTGTGTTTTTGAGGAATTTGTACATTTCATCTAGGTTGTCAGATTTACATGTGTAGTTCTTCAAAGTAGTTATTATCCTTCTGATGCCTGCAGGGTCTGTAATGATATCCTATTTCATTCCCGATATTAGTCATTTGTGTCTCCTTACTTTTATTTTTCATTTGTTAGTTTTTTTAAGATTTGTCAATTTTCTTGATCTTTTAAAAAAAACAGCTCTTTGTTTCATTGATTTCCTCTATTGCTTTTCTATATTCATTTTCATTGATTTCTGCTCTAATCTTCTTTATTTCTTCTTTCTTTCATGTTATACATTTATTTTATTATTTTATTCTTCTTTTTCTAGGTTCTTGAGAGGAGAGGTTAGATTATTCATTTGAGACTTTTTCATTTTTCTAAAGTATGAATATACTATAAATTGCCCCTGAACACTGCTTCAACTGTATCCTATAAATTTTAATATTGTATTTTTATTTTCATTCAGTTCAATTTTTAAAAATTATCCTTAATAATTCCTCTTTAATGCACAGGTTATTCATAAGTGTGTTGCCTGGTTTCCCTATGTTGGAGACTTTCCTGTTGTTTTTCTGTTATTGATTTCTAGTTTGATTCCATTGTGATTAGAAAATACATTCTGTATGATTTAAATTATTTTAAATTAGACACTATAAAATATTACTACATTTACCAAAGTAAGATATTACTACATCTTCACCAAAAGTAAGCATTATTAGCCCCATTTTACAGATGAAAAACTGAGGCTAAGCGAAACAGAATAGCTTGTTCCAGCCAGGGAGTGATGGAGCCGGGATTACAACCCAGGTTCCCCCAACTGGTGCACACGCTGCCTCGGGGCTCCCCTTTGCGGCTCTGTGGAGTTGACACCCCGTTTGTCCCGGCCCCCACCTTCTCAAGTGTGCCCCCAGCCCTGTCTCGAGTCCGTCACCGGCCTTAGCGCATTGACGCTGCTCCCCTGCAACACGGAGCTGGCGTCGTTATCTGAGCTGTACAAAAGAGGAAACGGAGGGTCCTCAGAGAGGAAGCCTCAGTTGCTTGTTTCGGGTTTCTTGGTTTGAAGCCCAGACTTTGCCATCGTGTTCCTGGGCCTCTGGTGGAGCCCTGATGGGCCTTCGTGTCACCTGCAAGCCAGGGCGAGCTTGCTCCGGGTCCTGGGCGCCTCCCACTCCTCCACTGAGTGCCAGAGCGCTGGCCGGGCTGCCCCTCTCCTGGGCCCAGACATTAGGGTTTTTGCAGAGGGGAAAGAGAGGAGCTCGAACAAGTTCATCTGTCATCTCAGGCCAAGGCGACCTGAGGTGGCAGGGAGTGGGAATGGAGTGGGCAAGAACCCCCCACCCACGGACCCCAAATCTGCTGGCCTGTGTTGCCCATGCTGGGCAGTGACCTCCGTGCAGGCCAGCTGTGGGCTCAGCTGTGGGAATCGTTCAGGTGAGAAGGGTCTGTCCCACACCTGCCAATCACAAGAAGGGACGTGAGCCTTGGAGCCCAGGCAGACAGGGAGAGACAGATTCACGGTTTCCTCCAGATCCTAAAGACCCGGGAGCAGGGCTTCCTCGGAGATGTCACCTAGATGGGCGGCGAGTAGGGTGAGGGTGGGGGTGGGGAGAAGGAGCTTCTTCTGTTCTTCCTTGTCAGTATCTCTGAGGTTTCCAGGGAACTAGAAGCTGCTTCCACCTGTGGCCTCTCACCTGCACTTTGGTGTCCAGCATGTGGCCAGGCCTCAGGATCCTATGAACTCAGACCAGGGCTACCCCTGGGCCCTCAGCGCTGCTGGATTTGTCCAGCTATCCCGCTCATTCAGCGAACACAGTGAGCATCCACCAGCAGCGGATTATTGAGATTTGTTTTATGGCCAGGATATGGTCTATCATGATATATGTTTGTGGGCATTTGAAAAAAAAAGGTTATTTTCCACAAAAGAATAAAATGCCTTGGAATAACTTTAACCAACAGGGTGAAATACCTCTACAAGGAGAACTATAAAACACTGGTGAAAGAAACCATAAATGGCAAAAACAAATGGAAAAGCATCCCTTGCTCATGGATTGAAAGAATGAATATTGTCAAAATGCCCACACTGCCCAAAGTAATCTACAGATGCAATTCCTATCAAAATACCAGCATCATTTTTCACAGAATTAGAAAAAAAACCCTAAATTGCATGTAGAACCAAAAAAAGAACATGAATAGCCAAAGCAATCCTAAGCAAAAAGAACAAATCTGGAGGCACTTCTAGATTATACTACAAGGCAATAGTAACCACAACAGCAAGGTATTGGCATGAAAGTAAACACATTAGCCAATGAAGCAGAATAAAGAACCCAGAAATAAAGCCAAATACCTATAAGCAACTGATCTTTGACAAAGCAGAGAAAAGCATACACTGGGGAAAGGATACCATTTCAATAAATGGTGCTGGGAAATTGGATATCCTCATGCAGAAGAATAAACCTATATCCCTATGTCTCACCACATATGACAATAAAAAGCTGGGTTAAGGACTTAAATGTAAGACCTGAAACCATAAAAGTTTCTAGAAGAAAACCTAGGAAAAACTATTGTAAACATTTGCCTAGGTAAAGAATTTATGACTAAGACCCCAAAAACAAATACAACAAAACCAAAAATAAATAAATGGGACTTAATTAAACTAAAAAGCTTCTAAACAACAAAAGATATAATAAACAGAGTAAATAGACAACCTATGGAATGGGAGAAAATATTCACGAGCTATATATCTGACAAAGGCCTAATATCCATAATCTATAAGGAACTCAAACAAATCTGCAACAAATAAAAAAAAACTTAAAAAATGGACAAAAGACATGACCAGATATTTTTCAAAAGAAGAGAAACAAATGGCCAATAAATGTGTAAAAATGCTCAACATCACTAATATTAGGGAAATGCAAATTAAACCACAATGAGATATCACATTACCCCTGTCAGAATGGCCATTATTAATAAGTAATAAAACAATAGATGGTGGTGCAGATGCGGTGAAAAAGGAATGCTTATACACTGTTGGTGGGAATGTAAATTAGTAAAACCTCTATGGCAAACAGTATGGAGATTTCTCAAAGAATTAAAAGTAGATCTACTATTTGATCCAGGAATTCTGCTACTGGGGATCTACCCAAAGGAAAAGAAGTAATTTTACAAAAATGATACCTGCATCCTATGCTTATCAGCATAATTCACAATTGCAAAGCTATGAAACCAACCTAAGTGCCCAACAATGGATGACTGGATAAAGAAAATGTAGTGTATATATACCATAGAATACTACTCAGCCATCAAAAAGAATGAAATAATTGTCTTTTACGGAAACTTGCATGGAACTGGAGGCCATTATCCTAAGTGAAGTAACCCCGGAACAGAGAACCAAATGCCACATGTCCTCACTTATAAGTGGGAGCTAAGCAATGGGTATGCATGATTGTACAGAGTGACAATGAACATAGGACACTCAGAACATGAAGGGTGGAAGGAGGGGATGGGGGATGAAATTTACCTATTGGGCACAATGTACACTATTCAGGTGACAGGTATATTAAAAGTCTAGAGTTCTCCAAAAAGAAAAGAAAAAAGAAAATAAAGGTTGTTTTTTTTTAAAAAAAAAAAAAAGGAAAAGAAAGGTTATTCTCCTTTTTGTATATTCTATAATATATTCTATATATTCTATAAATGGTGATTAGATGCTGTTGGTTGATGATGCTGAGTTATTTTGTATTGCTAATTTTCTATCTAGTTGTTTTAACAATTTTGAGAGGAGTGTTAAAGTCTCAAGCTCTGATTGTTGTCTACTTCTCTCTACAGTTCTATTTATATATTTTGCAGCTCTGTTACTTGGTTCACATGCATTTAGGATTGCCATGTCTTATTGATGGATGACCCTTTTCTTTCTTTTTTTTTTTTTTTTTTAGAGACAGGGTCTCACTCTGTCACCCAGACTAGGGTACAGTGACACCATCATAGCACCACTATGATCTCAGTCTCATGGGCCCAAGTGAGTCTCCCACCTCAGCCTCCTGAGTAGCTAGGACTACAGGTGCACACCACCATGCCTGGCAAAAGTTTTTATTTTTTGTAGACACAAGGTCTTTCTATGTTGCCCAGGCTGATCTCAAACCCCTGACTTCATGTTATCCTCTCACTTTGGCCTCCCAAACTGCTGGTATTAAAGGCATGAGCCTCCACACCCAGCCATTCTAGAATGATCTTTCTAAAACACAAACCCAGTCATCACATTCCGCTACTTAAAATCCTTTCATGAATCCCTGCACCCTCCAGAATAAAATCCAGACAAAGGGAGGCTTTTGGGATTTGGTCCATGCCAACTTTTCCCACAACATCTTACTCCATTATAGAACTCTGCAATCCAGCTATCTCAGACTCATACTGGTCCTGGAAGACAGTCTCTGACAGAACAAGAAATACAGTCGGTCCTCCGTATCCATGGGTTCTGCATCCATAGACTCAACCAACTACAGACCAAAAAGAAGAAAAAAATGAATAGTTACATCTGTACTAAACAGGAACTGACATTTTTTCTTGTCACTTTTCTCTAAACCAGGGGTCCTCAAACTTTTTAAACAGGGGGCCAGTTCACTGTCCCTCAGACTGTTGGAAGGCCGGAGTATTGTTTTAAAAAAAACTAGGAACAAATTCCTATGTGCACTGCACATATATTATTTTGAAGTAAAAAAAAAACAAACGGGCAAAAACACCCCCATGTGGCCTGCGGGCGGTAGTTTGAGGACGCCTGCTCTAAACAATATAGTATAACAAGTATTCCCATAGTTGTTACATTGTATTAGGTACTATAAGTAATCTAGAAATGATTTAAAGTATTCAGGAGGATGTGTGTAGGTTATATGCAAACACTACACCATTTTATACAGCAGATCCTTGAATAATGTCATTTTGTTCAACATCGTGGATGAGAAAAAAAAAAAAAATCTATTCCAGGCCTGGGCCACTGTCTGTGTGGAGTTTGCATGCTCTCCCCGTATCTGTGTAGGTTTTCTCTAGGTACTCCAGTTTCCTCCCACATCCCGAAGCTGTGCCCATTAGGTAAACTGGTGTGTCTAAATTGTCCCGGTGTTTGGTATCAATCTGTGGTGTTTAAAAAAATTAAAAAATAATAATAATAACTTGTTCCAGCGTGTGTGAGTGTGTCCTGCGATGAAATGGCCTCCCGTCCAGGATGGGTTCCCACCTTGCACCCTGGGCTGCCAGGATAGGCTCTGGCCACCTGAGACCCCGAACCGGAATAACTGGGTAAATGACTATCTAACTTGTTTTTATTAATCTTTCTTTATGTATAGCTCACATTTATTTCAATGTTTAATATTACAAGTGTTTGGGGTCCTTATTTAGATCAGGGGTCCTCAAACTTTTTAAACAGGAGGCCAGTTCACTGTCCCTCAGACTGTTGGAGGGCCGGACTATAGTTTTAAAAAAAAACTATGAACAAATTCCTATGCACACAGCACATATCTTATTTTGAAGTAAAAAACAAATGGGCAAAAACACCTGCATGTGGCCTGTGGGCCATAGTTTGAGGATGCCTGATTTAGATGTTCGGTGATGTTTCTGTGACCAAAGATATGCCATAGTAACTTAACTCTTCTTTATATCAATTAGCCTATGGTGAAAGTGGTTTAATTACACATTGTTTTGCTTAAAGTCACAGTTTCCAATAACCTATCAACATTAGGTGAGGACCTACTGTATAAGGAACTTGATCATTCGTGAATTTTGGTAGCTGGAGGGGTCCTGGAATCAATTCCTCATGAATACAACCACTTTCTCTTCCCATCTCCTTCCCCTCAACAATCCCTTGCCATTCCTCCTGCCGGCTGAGCCTTACCAGAAAGCAAGCAGCCAGAGAGCAAGAGAGCCTGGGTGAAACATGCCATGGGAATCAGTCTCCCAGGTCACAGAACAGGGCAGAGAAGAGCAAAGAATGGATGTTGCTAGGGCACGAGTGGGACAGCCAAATGGACAATACCCAGTATACTAAACTTCAAGCCAATCTGAGTCTTAGGGCCACTATGAACCAAAAGTCTCATCCTGCCAAATGCCATTCCTATCCCCCAAGATCATGAAATTTTCTGACAGAGTTCATCAAGCACCCCAGGTCTCAATTCAAATAATATTAAATGTGTTATACAAAATTACATTTTCATTCTATGGATAGAACCATAACTTTGCTCTTCATCATTTCAAAATTCTTCACTTCTCAAAAAGGATTTACCATGATCAAAATCTGGTTGGCATAATATAGATGATTAAAATCATGCTCAACTGTTCTCACTGATTAAAACATCATTTTGTCCCATTTGCAGTAGTCATTTCTTAGAATATGGAATTTTTAAAACAATTTGCAAGGGAAAAGTTAATCTTCAACAGAGTAGTTTAAA